GGAGCCATGCGCCTCCTGGTGGTGGAAGGTGAAACACAAAAGACAAGACAAACAGACAAACACAAAAACTGGGATCCTGACAACCTGAATCCTTGAAGTGAAACATTGTTCTACAAATTGGACTGAGGAAGGTGTCCAAAAACCACAGTTTTTAAATTATTAATTGTAAAACAAATTATTTTGTGTTGGTACTACAAAATAAACCCGATCACAGAGAAATGCATCACTGTTCTGTGACAAAATGAAAGAAAATTTACGTGAATAAATACTTTTACAAGGCACTCAATACAGCATTTACTTTAAGCATATTTACTTTTATTTACAATATTTACATATTTAATACTCACTGGGTAATCTTATGTTGCCTATGGAAGATTGTGTCCTTTCTGTATTAAAAACAGTTTTTCGGATACTGCTGCATATTCATATATCAGTGTCAGTAGTGAGCAGCCCAGATTAGGAAAACAATCAGATTTTCCTGCATTTTTTGGCTCATATAAAGAGAGTGGCTACAGCCAAGCATGCTCTGGGATGCTGAGATAATCTACATGATGCTCAAAGGGATCTAAGTTGGCTTTCTTTTATGGAATTGGTCGTTTATTATTTTCTTGTGGAAATACTGTCATACTCCAACCTTTTTCATCAAACGTATTTGTCATTATGCACTTTTTAGATTACATTTTCAGGGTTAGATAGTAGTTTATAGTAATTTATGTTTTAAACTTTAAGAGGAATAAATGATAGAGCACACCAGGAAATTGAAACTGAAGGCTTAAATTTATCTTTACGATGAACTCTGAGAAATAGTGCATTTACTCAAACAAATAATCATATTTCAAGGAGTATGAATAACGTATGGTTTGAGGTTAAAAAATAACAAAAAATAACATTTGGGAGTAATATAATATCACAGTACACTACCATTTTGGGGAACCTTTGCTTTAGTCCCGGCAGAGTTGTCATTTTTAGGAATGATAATTATTAGGTTAGTCAAAAGTTACTGATACACAAACCCCCAGAATCGCAACTGGAAAAACTGATGGTTAAAAATAATTTCAGCAAAGGAGTAAATGTCAAGCTCAGAACAATGGTATCCAGTATCTTAGACAAACAAACAGTTAGATTTCTTAAAGCATTTAATGGAAACGGAACTGCAGGAACCTCTGGAGGAGGAGACAACAGGTTAGTGACATGTCTATCTGGTGGAGAATGAAATGAACATGTGAGTCACTAACCTAGTCTTAAAGTTTAGTCTGAGCCCAGAGGATGAGGTTGGTTCCAGCTGGTCAGCTGCCAACGCTATGCAGCGGTTGCCGGCCAGAGAGTCCCAGGCACTGTTTTTTTGGAGGTCGGAGGACATTAAGGAGATCAGAATCGAGCAGACAAAGGTAGGCAGAATAATCCAGAGGGCGAAGCCAAAGTCGGTATCAAAGAAATGCTTGGTAGCAACAGCCAGGAGATTAGAGGTCCGAAGAGGTGCCGAGGGGAAATCTAGAACGGAGTCGGGAAACAGCTCCAGGTTTAGTACACAGAAACGCAGAGATCCGGCAGGAGTCTGAAGACAGGTGAGGCAAAAAGATCAGAATGGGAACAGGCAGGCTCAGAGGTCCAGAGGCAGAACAGGTCAGGAAATCAGAAACACAGGAATGTAACGATCTTGGTTCTGTTGTTTTTCTCTAGGTTTTCAGTTTCAAGTTCATCCAGGTTTTTCCTTGTTTTCTAGCCTTAGTGGTGTGTCTGGATTCATTTATGTTTCTTAGGTTTTTTTGTCTGCCCTCTGTTGCCCCCTTGTGTTTTCTTTTCCCTTGGCTTCCTCATCAGCTCTAGTCACACCTGCTCTTTATCAGCTCGTTAGTCTTGCCTTTGTTCAGTCAGCCATAAATACACTCCCTCTGCAGTCCCTCTTTGCTGGTTCCTCGTCGTACTATGTCTCACCTTGGCTCCTTGTGATGGTTTTCCCCTGATGTCTCCATGGTTCTGGTTTGTGTTTTATTTTTATGTTGGATTTTTGGATACATGTTTTTGTTTAACATTCAATCCAAAAAGTTGTATTTTTTGGATTCCTGTTTTTGCTGCCTGATCATTCATTAAATCTTTAATGAACTCACCCCTGCCTGTCAGCCTCTGCATTTGGGTCCTCACAAAAACCTCCAAACAAACCGTGACAAGGAATGCTCGAAAACTTCTCACCACAGGCTCAAAATAATGACTGATGACTGGTCTGTAGGCTGGTTAAATAGAGACTGAAGCAGGTGGATCAGATGAGCACTAATGAGAACTGGACAGAGATAAGCAGGAGAGGGAAATGAGTAATCAGTCCAGACATCAGCGCCAAGATCATGAGAGTAATTTTAGAACCTTACAATTTTTTAATGTCAACTTCATCAGAAAACATGAAGAAATAAAGAAAAACAAGGAGTGAGAAATGAGTAGTAGAAAATAGCCCAAAGAAATTGAAATCTACTTGCACTAAAGCTAACACACAATCCATTATTCTGTCTAATACATATGCATTACACCTGTAAAACTCAAAAGATGTAATCCTAATATTTTAGATCTGTGTACAAAATGCATGAACGAGAAAGGGCTGCAATTACATTGCCTGTGGAAATCAAACAAAATCAAGTCTTTTTGGGAAGAGGTTAGGAAAATATCTTGGGATTAAATCCCAGTGGTCATAAATATAGAAGAACCGTCTCTTACATGCCAGAAAAAATATCAGTCTTTTGTAAAAGAATTGATAGTCCAAGTATTACTTTTCAGATTTGACAAATGTTTAAAACTTTTCTCTTAGAAAGAGTAACGTACGTACAGAGAGAGAAACAAGAGAAATTTAACGAAGTCTGAAATCTATGTTTTTTTTTTTTATTCTTTAAAGATGCAAACATCATAGAAAAAGTAAATTAAATATAAGAATATAGCGATCCTGCTAAATAAGATTAAACAAAATTGATGACATGTGTAAATGTGATTGATATCTATCGTCCATATCTGAGGGGCATTTTCTATTTTTTTTTCTTTGATTGCTTTATACTTTTTTTGTTGTGTTTGTTTCACTGTTAGGTCAGTTGTTCCTCATCAAATGTTCGGACCATATTTTTAAAAAATGTACGATATGTATGTATTGAGATCCATAAAAAACTTGGACCATACAATTGTTTCTTGCAATCCTTTGGTTAAGAGAATAAAAATGAATGATTGAATTAAAACAGACTAAATCTCGCACCAACATGTACCCCTTAACTGTTGTCTCTGTGTTCTGGTCATGGCCGTGCAGCCATCCTGCCTGGGGTCCCATCTGGACTGTTTAGCAAGTGAGGCCTGAGGGCATGTCAGCAGAGTGAAGACCTTCACATGTTCCCCTAGAGTAACCTGCTAGGCCCTTCAATCCAAACACATTACCGTTGACAGACAGCCACTAGGCTAACTGTTGCTTTTGCTGATGCAAGCGTGTGATAACATTTTGAAATTATAACTGCCTGCTTAGTGTCAATATTGTGCTCTAGTTGATAATTGGTAAGAGAATAGGTGTTCTTTTGCATCAGAATTAGTCACTAATAGCCTAAGGGTCCATCCTTATTTAGCTGTTGATTTATGCATTCAACATTAAGTTATATCGATTCCAAACACCAACTTTAAGTCTCCTATCTGGGAGCACATAGTCCATGTCCAGTAGTTTGGAAAAATAAATATTCTGTACATGTTTACTACAAACCAAGCACTGAGATATGGAGCTTACATGGCCTTTGTACGACCATATGTCACACAAAAAGACTAGATGTCTCCTATATGAGAAAACAAACACACATACAACAAATACCAAATATGAGCTGTAAAACCTGGTGCCAAAGTCTAAATGAAAAGACACCGGATGATCTATCAGTAGTTGATAAGTTTTGTTTATTAATCATACGTAATACAATTACAAGTTGTGCAAATGGACTAAGTTAAAGTAGCTGAGTAGAAAACCAGCAAACTGAGGCAACAAAGGAAAACTAGGAGGGGAAACTTACCCCCTGATTCCACATCCTCTGTCACCGCTCCGTCACCCTCACGTACATTGTGCATAGTAATTGTCTTTTATGTTATTAAATGAGAACTGTTCCACATCCACCGCTACTCCTATGCACGTCACCGTTCATGTACGTCTTCTCCGTCCTTCACCTTCAAAATCTGGAGCCGAGCTATTTTTTTTACGCTCCTCCGATCCTGCAGGCCAGGTCAAGATCCACAATTGCAATCTTACCAAACAGGAAAAAGAACGTCAAGAAGATCTGGTTTGTAAATTAAAATATGTTAACAACAGATCGCTAACTACAAATTAGAGCATAATTCTTATATATTCCCTAAAACTAAGAACATTTAATTCAATTATTGGATGCAAACTATTCGTACTTTACAAATCAAGAAACAGTTTTCTCATCTCGATCAAAATATTTATTTTATATCGAGAGGCTTAAAAGTTTAATCAAATCCGGTCAAAACTTCCAAGGGCGCATCTCACAACTTCAAAAGAAACTTGTTATCGCAGGCATGGATAAAGAGATGCTGATACCTTTTTACAAAAATCCACAACAAAAAAATATATATTTTGGCAGAGAGAGCAGATATGCTGGATGCCGGTGGGAATTTTTAAAATATGTGATATTAAATTAAACATTCATTTCTGAATGTTTAGCTCCTAATAATTTTATAATAATACAGCGCATTCTCTCCTTGAGCTCCGAGGAAGTCGGTTTGGAGCAAGACGGGAGGAAATGCGGAGACTGTAGGCTTTGTTTTGCGCGTACAGCCTTGTGCGCAGTGGTGCGGCAGCAGGGCCGAGCTCAATTCGTGCCAGTGGCAGCATTGTGACACTTCCGGTGGCTCGTTGTGGCACTTCGTTTTGGCAGGTCAGGCTGACATGCTGTATTACTCGCTGATACGGCGTAGTACTGGCAGCTGCCACTAGGCTGACAGTCTGCAAGTTTGGCTCCCATGTTTACTGCAACTGTTTTGGGGGCTGCAGAAGCCATTTTTCAGCAAATAGCCCATTTTTCAGGAAATAGCTAATCTATAGTTCTTCTAAGTAGATTTTTGTTTTAATATTGTGAATAAAATGCATTGCAACTTTCATAAAGTCACATTCAGTTGATTCAATGAAGTAGCTCATCTGCCAATTAGTGGCAGTGGCACATGCCATTACGCTGCCACTAGGTGTCCCTGGCCACTTGTCACTAAAATACTGTTTTAAGACCATGATGTTATCGCTTATTAACATGTATGAAACCTTTAATGAAGTGACTGCATTTACTTTGGAAGCAATGGTCTAAAAAGGGATTATGTATGTATCTATGTATTTAACATGTTGTAAGGAAAGAGACATTCCACACCCTGCTGGTACGTTACACAGAATCCAAAGTTAATAAGACATATATTGCCATTCTAAAATAACCTGGCCATGAGGGTGAGAGAACACTGGGAGATGACATCATTCCACAGGATGTCATCCATGAGGTCAGGATGTAATAGTTGTACCTAAATTCTTTAGATATATAGATTAGTATGTGTCCCTCCTTAACTCTATCTAAGATGCGGAGAGGCTGCAGCAATGGAGACATATGGTTACTTCTAAATTTCTTTATTTACAGAATTTCTTCAAATATTGCAAAACCTTTTTTTTTTAACTTCCACAATGCACACACAGAGCAAAGCATCTAAGGCCAGTTGTTAGGTGCATTTGGGGCTCTGCGTCTTTGAGAAAAACCTCTTTGAAAAAACTCAAAAGGGTCAAGATTAAATGATCCAGCAGGATAATTGTCTTATACCTCTTGCATTTTCTTTGCCTGAAATTAAGTTTAGATTTTTCTTAATTTTGCAGTTTGTTTATGTTTCTTAAATACAACATGAATTTCTTCCGCGGCTGTTAACTCATCCATGTCTGTAGTATCAATGTTCATGGCTCCAAGACGTACTCTGTCACCATTTTTATTTCAGTCAGCAGACATAAACTCTGTTTTTGGTAATTGTGATAAAATGCAGTTTTGTTATTTGAACCAATTACTCCTCCTTATAAATTAGATAGCACTTATGTATATTTTTGTATTTGACCATGTGTTCATTGCTCTGTGCATATTTCATTATCACAATTCATGTGGAAAGCCAGTTTGAGCCAGTTAGCACTTCTCCTGCTGAGACTGTGACCACTATCTGTCTGTCTTTTCATAACCCATGAGCAATCCATAGCCCACAGCCTTAATTAAAGTGATCTCTCCTGACAGACCATCAAAATGTACTCCTTCTTGGATTACATCATGGGAGGCTGCCAGATTCAGTTCACGGTAAGATATCTCCCACCTACAGGACAAAATCGTTGATATTTGCAACAGTGTGTGCCAGGGCTGGCTTGTGCCCACTCAAACTATGTGACGGGGGTGTGTGTGTTTTTCTCAGGTGGCCATCGACTTCACAGCATCCAATGGAGATCCGAGAAATAGCTGCTCCCTCCATTACATCCATCCTTACCAACCCAATGAGTACCTCAAAGCACTGGTGGCTGTAGGGGAGATCTGCCAGGACTATGACAGGTAGAGTAACTCCATCAGTGGTTATGTCCTTTATACCAAACATATCTCAGTGCCCATGAGACTGAAATACAAACAAGTGCATACCTATGGAGTAATTAATTTATTTTCACTGCAGTAACAGCTGCAGTACAATTTGGGGGGAAGCAATCCTTTGCTTACACAGCCTTTAAAGCTGGGGACTGGGAGGTAAACTTTTCTCCCATTCTTAAGAATAAGGAGACCAGCTTATGTGCTTTGTTTCGGACTAAGCTGCATTTTATGTCCTCCCACAATATCAGAGCATTTCCTACATTTAAAATGGATAGGGGGTTGCCAAAAGTAGGAACTGACTTAGGGTAATGTTGATACTAGAAACACCACTGATGGGAGTGATGTGTTCAGGTTGATGTGAATTGAAGTCTCACAGATAGCATAGGCAAAAAAAGAATGCCTATCTTTGATCTCTTCCTGTTAAGAGTCCGCTCCAAGGTTTGCTACACCTGCAAATTGAACTTGTTTGAACTGCTTTGTGCTTGTCCCCTTTTTCCATGCAGGCCATATTTTTGAACTGCGAAGCAGAGATTGGTTTATATAGCATGTGAACACCTAGACTGTGGAATGCATTACCACTTTACCAGTACTTGGTGAACTTCATTGATGATTTAAATAAAAACTACTACAAAAAAAAAATGTTTAGACACATTTTATCAAGGGCTGCTATGATTGTATTTATTTTGCCTATATGTATTTTAAATGGTGCTGATTTGTATTTTATGCCTCATATTGTACAGCACTTTGTGATACTTGTCTGAGAAAGGTGCTTTATGACTAAACTTTACTTGCTTATCTTTGCAGCTCCATCACATTTACTATTTCTCTGTTGGCTGGTTTTCTCATTAAGGTTCTCTTTGAATAGCTTTAGTTTAGCTAGACAACCATGTTATGATATGTTTGCAGCCACACTTTTCATATTTTTGGAAGTTCCATTGAATCTTCAAAGCTTTTGATATATTAATGCCTTCTTCACTGTGACATTATCCCCGTCCTGTCTGCTGTGTTCCTTGAAGCTCTTGCTGCTATTAGCAGATTGATGTTTTCTAACAAAACTTCTGTATTTACTATTTGGTCTCTGAAGGCAAATGATTGTTGAAGACTGAATTTTGAAAATATTAGCGTGGAGGACAATGAATTCAGATCCACTTTTAATTGGTCAGATTTTTGTTACCAAAAGATTTAAAAGAAAAATCTGCTACATCAAAAAACATTCATTGAAGTCTTTCTGTGTAGCATATAAATGCTTATATGAAACCATTCCAAAAGAATGAATTTCTGTATATTAAGCCAGTGCTGTATATTAAAAAAAAGTTGTAAATTATAAATGCATTTCTCCTCCCATGTTTTTCACTGACTCCTGTTTTCTTTTCTACAGTGATAAAATGTTCCCTGCATTTGGTTTTGGAGCTTTGATACCGCCAGACTTCAAGGTAAGAAAACCCAAACTACATATAACATGTGTATGGGAAAGCAACGGGAGGGATGTGCCCTTTCTTTTGATCAGCATGAAAGAGGAAAATGTGCATCAAACCTGTAAACTGGACCTGACACATTGTCCTGAGCGATCGGTTTGTTGCAGCTCATTCCCTTCTCCTCACTGTTCTCCGTCTTGCCTGCAGGTTTCACATGACTTTGCCGTGAACTTTGATGAGGAAAATCCAGAATGTGCTGGTGAGCTTACACACCTTAGAAGGACTCAACTTCACTTGTACATGCACCAAAACACGAAAGCAGAGAAAACTCTGCATGCCTTTCCTCTCTTTCATTCCCGTCTTTCTCCATCACACACATAAATATTACCTCAAACGCACACATTAGCGCATACACACAGAAAAATGTAGCTGAGAGATTTGTCACAATGCTGCAGGATGTATTTCAGGCTCCACCACACAGAGAGAAACAACACTAATCTGTATGTGTGAAATGGGCTTCTGTGCTCCCTCCCCACATAGCTGCAGTCCCTGCCGCCAAGGTGTGTTTGCGTGTATCCTTGTGTGTTTGTGCGGACCATAAGGGAGTGCTTTCCGAAAAATGCTCAGTCACCTTGTAGCACAACGGCACACAGAGAGCCGGATTTATTCTCGCAAACACGTTTGCAAGTACACGAACTTCGACTCTGTGAGGCCGCTGTGGTGCAACATACACACTGGTAAAGAGGGGAAACAAATAAACAAGTTGCAAGGGCCCAAATATGTCTGTGTTGCAGGGATCCAAGGCGTGGTGGAGGCCTATCAAAACTGCCTTCCTAAAATCCAGCTGTACGGGCCCACCAACATCGCCCCAATTATCCACAAAGTGGCCTCCTCAGCCTCCGAGGAGATGCACACCAAAGAGGCCATGGTGAGAGAGAGAATGGAAAACATGAAATATATATAAAAATAGCTAGTTTCCTTTTAACGCTTTGACGGTCCACGAACAGACAAGGAGAGATGGAGGGTACAAGTAAGGAAAAAGGACAGAGTCATAGATCAGATGGGGATAACATGAATTAAATGTAATAAACTGAAAAAGAAGATGTGTGTGTTTGACTGGGGATTATTGAAATGAATTTGATTCTAGTCATACATTTTTGCATATGACTTTTCTCTGCATTAATGCCCTCTGCTGCTTTCCATCTCTCCAGTGGATTAGAATGAGTTTTATTTAAATCAGTAGCTATCAGAAAACCCCTTTTAAAATATCAGTTTCATTCAACATCTATTCCTTACTCCTGTCACACCAGGAATACTTCATCCTGCTAATCCTGACAGACGGAGTCATCACTGACATGGCGGACACTCGGGAGGCTATCGTGCATGCCTCCCATCTGCCCATGTCTGTCATTATCGTTGGCGTGGGCAACGCCGACTTCACTGACATGCAGATCCTTGACGGTGACGATGGGATCCTGCGTTCCCCCAAGGGCGAGCCAGTTCTCCGGGATATCGTCCAGTTTGTCCCCTTCAAGGACTTCAAACATGTAGGTGTAGATCGTAAATACATTTTATGCGCTCTTGCCATGTGGATCAAGGACTGCTATTATTTCAAAAACCTGAGGTTTGGACTTACAGAGGTATCATTGTCAAGGGACAGTATTTCACTCAAAGGATAAATGCTGCAGACATGTATTTGATACATGAAAAGAAAGCTGTTACTAGCATCTTGGTGCTTGTGCAAATGTATTTTTTTAATGTTGAGGCCAGAAAATGTGGTATTATGCTGTGTGAAGATTCAGTCCCTTTGTTTCTATAATTTTAAATTTTAATTCGATTAAGTTTGTACTCATCAGATTGGAGTGAGGATAATGCTGCTGTTTAAGTGACATATTTTATTACTCCCTCACATGTTGACAGCTCTACCGAAATAGTAGTGCATACTAGTGGAAATGAATCCCATGCTGTCTAATAATTCTGCCAATTGGGAGTTGTAAAGTTAGGAAACTGAGTCGAAAGCATTTCTTGCAAGACATGATATTCAATTTTATTTAACGTCCTTAGTGAGACGGAGAGCAATTTTTACTCT